TTTTGTATAAAAAACGTCATTTTTCGACCCCCATTTGATCCCCCGGGGCAAAATCAAAATTCCGAAACCTTACTGCACATCTACATGACACCCCCAACCATATCCCAAAGGATGATTAAGCTACTGTGAAAAATGTAGGAGGAGTTCAGGGAAGAAGGGGCTTTTTGTATAAAAAACGTCATTTTTCGACCCCCATTTGATCCCCCGGGGCAAAATCAAAATTCCGAAACCTTACTGCACATCTACATGACACCCCCAACCATCTCCCAAAGGATGATTAAGCTACTGTGAAAAATGTAGGAGGAGTTCAGGGAAGAAAGTGTGACAGACGGACGGACGGACGGACGGACGGACGGACGGACGGACGGACATGAGTAACAACAATATACCCGAACTTTCTTTCGAAAGTGCGGGTATAAAAATATTAAGTTTGCTTAATCTGTAAATTCACTATGTCCAAAACTGTATTTACCTCTGACATATTATAAACTTAGATATGTAACTTGCATTATGAACATCAATTTCATTGAATGATTTGCAAATTCTTGGGAACTAAAGTCAACAAAATTTTCACAGAATTGGACATATCTTTTTCCCCTGACAGTGCTTTACACATGGTGAAGCACATCCATTTTTAAAGCAAAAAAGTGAAATCTTACACTATGAATTTTCTAGGGGGATAAAAAAAAAATCTGTCACATGCTTGGCACAAGACCTATAAAGAATGTGTATATTTCACCAAAAAGTGAACAAAACAGCCGCGTGCCCTTTCATATTGGACATGTGACTTACAGAATTTTGTCATCAATTTTCAAGATAATTTCAGTCTTTTTTAAAAATTATACAGGATGAATCATAACGGTAAATTTTCTTTCTCACATGAGATCTATAATTATGAAAGGGCTTGAAAGAGGGGTTTTTTGGTTGTTGAAAAAAAAAACTCACGTACAAGAGCAAATAGAAGGAATATACTTAAATATTGAAGCAGCATACTTATGACAGTAATTAAAACCAATGGTCAACACTTAAGAGACAAATATTTAAATAAAGTTTTGTCTCTGTTACTATTTGCGAAAAACACACAAGATGCAAAATAAAACACAGACATTACAGTCATGCATAAAAATGATGACTTAAGGATTTGCTTTTATCAATTTATTTTTCTTGTAGAGAGATTTATTCTCCAACAACATCAAGGCATTAAGTGCCTACTATATTCAGTATATTGTTCCTCATACAGTAAAACCTATGAAAATACTTTGCTATATCTGTAATTCGTTAAATCCATATAAGGAATTCATCAGTTTATATAGTTGGGGATCCAAGATCACGTCGCTATATCCGTGAATTCACAATATCCGTGTTCATACTGAACGAGTTTTACTGTATGACATATAGTAGATAAATCCTTAATGAAATTGACAGAATTTAAAGATTTTGATCAGAATAAGAATTAAGCACTCATGATTCTTTTTGTTTTCTGATAGGTGTCAAAAACTAAGGTGCATTTTAAGGGACTCCGACCCTCAGCTAGGAAGGACAACTCGTTAATTTATAATTTAATTCAAAAAGTCTTTAAATGAAGCTTGAAAATTAAATCACATTAAGGAGGAACAGGACCTTGAGCTAAAAAAATTCCTGTCAATGAATTTTTTTCGTATTTTTTATATTATTAATCTGATATGTACTTAACATTTTAAACTGGTCCTGTCATGAGATTACTTGACTAATTTAAAAGATATCGCCTCACAAATATCACCCTGTATAGTGTTTGTATGGAGTTTCGATACTTCATGTTTACGGGTCTGTTACAGAGTCCATAATGCGATTTTTTGCGCACAAATAATAAATATGTTTGATAACACTATATACTCAAATATTTTAGAATATTCATAGTGTTTGAATTATCTGAAAGCATTTGTTTTAATTTCACATAGCATCTGAGTGGGATAATTTCTTAACTTTTCAAGGCAGCTTCAACAACAAAAACCTCATTTTGGAAAAAATTCTGTCAATAAATATTGCTAAATTTACGATTGAATGTCAGTCCTTCATCGTAATTATTAACTGCATAAATATCGAAGGGTGAAACTTACCTCAATATCGCACAGGACATCGTTGAATTAGACGTATGCATGATAAAAATGCTTCACGTTTGCATTTTCCGAGTGCGGGAAATCAATTGTGACGTCACACGAAAACATAAGCACGCAAAATTATCTAAATAGAGAGAATCTCTGCTACTAAGGCCACACCAATTCAATATCTTGGTCGCCGGACCCGCGCGCATGTAATTTATAACTTTCCAAAAAATAATATTAAAAAAGATTTCCCGCATCCGGAATTTTTTGTTCCATTTTCCGCATCATTTTCGACTCTTTACTTTTATTTTTTCATTCCAAGTCACGGTTGCATTTTAAATCAAGGCTTTCAAAAACGCACGTGTCTTTTTCTGAATTACACTGACCGTATCACAAATCTTTGGTGCCGGATTGTCAGTATTCTAGTGAGTTTAGCATAGAAATATATCAAGAATGCCTGTGCTCGTGGCAAAAATTAATGATCAGGAAGGAGGAGTTATTATGAAAAACACTGTTACAAATTTTACAAGGGGAAGTCAACGTTCTTCGAACTGTTTGAAAAATGTGTTTACTGTTTTTTTTTTTAAAAGACACTGATTCGATCGTTTAAATGCGTTTACGTGAAAACCAACAAGGCCAATTCATTCTTGCAGTCAATGCTGATATCAATGTTTCTGAAATATCTACTACACTTTCATGTAAGTTTGTGCAATTGATCACTACTCAAAAACTTACATTAACTTTGTATCTTTGTTTAAAGCATCTTATGTATATGAAATAATGCATTAAACTGCCATGTGTACCATACAGAAGTGTTTTTCACAAGCTTAATGAAATAGATATTATAAAAAATTAAGAAGCAGAGATATTATGTCAAATGAAATGTTAATTGCATTCCTTTTTACAATTGTCATGTAAGGGCATAACTTTGTAAAATCTTATTTGAATCTGACTTTTCATAAAACATTTAATAGGTGTATGGAAAAGACACAGATGATAGAAAAACAGGGAAATGTTGAAGACCCAGAAGTTTGAGATATTATTGTATGTGGAGAGTGGTCAAAACACAGATGTGTCCACACTTTAGTGAAAAAAAGGTAAGTAGACGGGATGTTTCATTATCTGTTTATGGTTTGAATTGCAGTTTCAGATACCTACAAGCTTAAATTTATTTTAGATTGATATATTGTGAGACTGCTTTTTCATAATGGAAAGTTATTGCAGGAGGAGCTATTAATTCGTTTCAAAGAGGATCATTAGTATACCTGGTACCAGAGGACATAGAGGATCCAGAAATAGTAGTCAAGGAGGTCACAAACTGCACAGTTATTTTTCAACTACTTCAAAGCACTACCTCCCACCTGTGTGTGTCCATTGCTGAAGTACTGAACATCTTCTGGATGATACAGACTCTCATATTTCTGATCTTTATGAACAATATTCATTTATTCAAGCTTTATTTCAACTTTGTGAAAATATTCACAGAGACCATTCCCATAGGGGAAAAATATTCTGCCCAAAAGGTGTAAAAGATAAAATGTTATGATTGGACATTTACATGATGTGTGATTCCTACTTGAATCACTATGAATTGAAATAAACAGGTTTTTAAAAAATAAAATATTATCGCTCGCCTCATTTAATTCTATACCGCTCCTCCGTTTTTAAATTTCAGCCTTTTAATTTTAAAATTTTCAAATCGCTCGTTCACCCCAATTTTTTCTGTCAAAAATCCGAAGACCAAGAAATTAAATTGGTGTGGCCTAAACATGAAAAAATATTAATTTAAAAAATCTGCTTCAGAAATGTATCACAATACATTGACTGTGACCTGTTTATTATGAAATAAAATTGATCATGACGGGTGCACTAATGTGTACTTGATCTCGCTGCACTGAGAATTCAACACTACGTCTATAGGCCGGTTTACACTATGCATCTTGACACATGCATCTTGGATGCATGTGTCAAGATTCACAGTGTAAAAGCCCCTTGTGTCAAATTAAATGGGTGTTGCATCTTGAACGATGGAATAGAACTTGTTCTATTCCGTGCTTCAAGATGCATGGAACTGACCAATGAAAAGAAAGGTCAGAGTTGATATTGAATCATGAGCCTTATTTTTTTCATATACTTTCAAAAATAGCTTCCCAAGATACTCAAAAACAGAAAATACTGATTAAAACTACAATTAGAAAAAACTTATTTGATTATTATAATATAGAGGAGTTTTTGTTTTGGAATAAATATAAATTATATCTTCCAAGAATTATCATAAAAAGGAAATTAAGAATGATTTGTTCAGCTAAAATAAATCTGGAAATGAAATTTGAAGGTATTGTTATTTTTTTAAGTAGAGAAATTTCGTCTTTACAAAGTATTCTAAAGATGCATGCATCAAGACACATAGTGTAAATAAGAAGATGCATGAGGCAAAATTGAAGCATGAGTTTAGATGCATGTGTCAAGATGCATAGTGTAAACCGGCCTTATGACGTCACTCACGTCAGACTGCAAGGTAAAGAGAAAAGGATGTGTGGATTTTGCAATTTCACAATATCTAAATGTTGGCAAGATCTTTAAAAATCTTAAATATTTATTTTGGAAAAATAAATGTTTAAAAACCAATTTTAGAATAAAATTACACAAGAACTGTTGATTTTAACAACGTTTAACATATATATCAGCATCGACTATGACGTAACATGTCTTTTGAGTCATGTAACATGTGCCCTGTCTCCCCTTAAAGCACATTGAGAGGAATATAATGAAAATTGTTGCATGAAAATATGTAATTTTCAAGCTTAATTTAAAGACTTTTTGAATTAAATTATAAATTAAAGAGTTGTCCTTCCTGGCTGAGGGTCGGAGTCCCTTAAATACAGAATGGCCTAAATTGGATCAGAGTTGACCACTGACCTTTTTCGCCATCACTGTTGAGATTCAGGCTCTCCTCCTCCTCTCCCCTTCCTCCATCCTCGGGGTCCGATATTCCTCCCACCCCCCTAACCCCAGCCCTCAGGGAAGACAGAAAACTGGGGTCATATCCTGTGTCACTCTCATTGTCAGCTGAAAGAAGAAAATTCAATACATTTGTGAACATATGCACCAATCTCAATTTTGGAAAAAAACTACATGTATTATTAAAAATTAGTCTATTGTAGTTCAAAGTATTAAATGCTTATTTTATTTTTTATTTATTTTTTTGTATTTAACCATTCAATGGTTGGATTCAAATAATTTCACTAGAACAGTTTGACAATGCTAAAATAAAATCTTATTTGCAGGAACTTCATTAACCAGTATCAATATGAGTAAAGGACTTTTCAGTAATAATAATTTCTCCAATTGCTGATGTAATAAACATGTATGATGCATAAAAATTAAGACTAGTGCCAAGAACAAATTATCTTCTTTCACGATTTCAGAAGCATAGAAATAAAGAAAATAGGATTCTCAGTAACAAAGATTGAACTATTATGCAGATTCTTAAAGAACTCTAAAATTTTATCAGATGGAACAAAGACAAAAATCACATCTAACTAACCCCTTTTCAAACTCAAACGCTCTTAGCAATGTGCATGTAGCACTACGCAAATTTTTTTTTTAATGACATTTCAAAATTTTAATCTAGAAATTAAAAAATATGATATGTGTGCATTAACTTATAGTACTTGTAAACTGTTTAGAAACTTCAAATTCTTGTCTCCAGGGCCATAAAACTAAGATGAGCCCACTTTTGATCTCAGTCTCTATTTTCCAATAAAAATTCCTTTTGTAAATTGTTTAGAAACTTCAAACTCTTGTCCCCAGGGCCATAAAACTAAGACCAGCTCACTTTTGATCTAAGTCTCACTTTCCACTATTAATTCCTTTTTAAAAAGTGAGACTGAGATCAAAAGTGAGCTGGTCTTAGTTTTATGACCCCAGAGCCTGAGTGATCTTGAGAGCATTCTCTGAGCATTGCATATTTAAAATTAATCTAAATAAAAATCAAGGAAACTATCAGTAATTGTGTAAACAGCAATACACACTTGGCAGACTTCAACACTTAGAAGTGAATCTATATAGGTGAAGTATAGAAAAATTCTTCTATGACAATAAATCATCTATATGTATCGATAAAATCTTTGGTAGGAAGGGAGCAAACAGCAGCATATGTAAACATGAGAAATTTTCATTTCAGCAGTGGCCCATAAAAGGAGGTGATTCAAAGTTAAACGTGCCAAACATTGCCCGATATCATCACAAAGTATATTTACCAAAGAGTCGCTTCCACAGGTTATATTCTGTAAGAACATCACCTGACATCGCAGCAGGTAAACACAAGAAATTAATATCATTCCACGTCAATTTCAGACACAAGAAATGTATCACTCCATGTCAATTTCACACACAAGGTCTACCCCAAAACAGCTGTTTTAACAGGTGTGTCCATCGGGTAAAAATATGCCTTTTGTAACCTTTTAACCCACAAAAATCAAACAGTGAATGAATCCAGTACTTATCAATACAAGTGTGCAGCCAAATTATTCCAACTAAATTGTATATTTCATAACCACTGTTTACATGTGAATGATCTTGAATAAAAGAATTTTTTTCTTCCATTGATTTTCGAGTGTTCCCATTTAAAAAAAAAAATCCTGTCAGGTGATCAGTAACACTGGAATTCTCCAAGATGCGTTGAGGAGGAACCGAAACATATACATTATCCTAATTACAGTGATTGGGATAATAATTTGCACTTCAACGTGTGTGTACCATAGAAACATGACAAGCATACATAGTCAAGAGACGTATAACAAAGATCCAAGGTCATCTTAGTAAACGTCACATGCCTTGACAGTTTACATGTGGATATACATTCAAGGCTTCTTTTCAATTTTGAAATTCTTTGAAAAATCATTTTTTAGAAATCATAATTTAAAAAAAATGTTGAACGATGATGGACTGAATAATGATTCTGATAGTTTAAAAATTAATATATCCATGTGAGGATTTAAGAATTTACTCATAAGATAGTGCAGATAAGTACATAATATATATCGGTCAGTGAATATGCATTACTATGTAAAAGAAAGACACATAAACATGCTGGTTATATGTTAGACATTTATTAACTGTCACCTTTGTTGTCTTTTTATGATTACTACTGACATTTACCTGGTAGTCATTTTAAAAAATGTAAAAGTTAAAGTGAAATTCATTCCTGTCCGACATAGAGAAAAGGAATCTAAAATAGGGTTATTTTTAGGACAACTGGATATCCAAGTTCAACTGTTAATTAACTATTACAGCAAAACTCGGTTATAACGAAGTCACTGGGACCAATGAAATTGCTTCGCTATATCCGTAATTCGTTATAACCGTATAAGAAATTCATTTAATTTATATAGCTGGGGATCCAAGATGACTTCGCTATATCCGTAAATTCGCAATATCCGTGTTCGTACTAACCGAGTTTTGCTGTAATTAACTAGGAAATTTGTTACATATTTAACCTATGATTCCTTTCATCTTTTGACAGCTTTTTAATGAATCTTTGAATTAATAAAAAAAACAACTTAAAATTTAAACAGGCCATTTATTTTTTTTTAATTTTTATTACCCATAATTTTACAAAAGAAGATCCGAAACACACCTTTTTTTTCATTATACCAGAAAGTTGTCTTGCTGCACAGTCCTCTCCAATTGAAACTAGAAAATTGACCAGTCAGCAAGGGCCCCGCCATGGGGTAGAATTAAAAGGGTGCAGCTTACGGAATGATTCAAAATGTACGAAGAATAAGCAACAGCAACTGTATTCTTAAAATTTCAAGATAATTCCTGAACATTCAAAAACCTGAAAATAATATCCTTGTACTTACATTAGGCAGTAAAGAATGACTTAACATTGAATGTATATTTAAACAATTATGAAGCTTGTGTTATATAAAATCCAGCCTTCAATGAATGCAAATATCATGAAGGCTTAACCTTAACTGCAAACAAACAGCAGTTGCAGACAAAGGTTTTCATTAATCTTAAAGACAGATAAAGAAAAGCTAACTAAATTTTCTGCAGCATGCTAGATAATTAATCCCAAGGGATTAATTGTACCTCTCTCATCATTTTCTTTTAAAGTTACAATAAGAACTTTTTCAGTATTAATGATAGAATGGGGTTTTTATACAACTACCTTAAAAATTAATAATATTCTTGAATTAACATAAGTAACAAAAGTAAATCAAAAAATCTTCTTTAATCTATTTCTTGGTTTTTAGAATTCAGTGAAATCATAACTATTAAACAAAAATAAATTATGAAAATTTATATTCAAATCCACATTTCAGAGTGTTCATAGCATTCCAAATTGACTTAACTTCAAAACAAACTTCATTTGCAGACAGAGGTGGTAATTCATCTCAATGTGACAGATAAAGATAATTCTCTGGATTTTCTTCAGGAGGAAAGCTAATTAATCCCAAGGGACTCATATAGCAGCATTCAGTTTACAATGGGAACATCAGCAGTTATCTCTCTTTGCCAATGCATTCTTATATAAAGTTAAGGAATGTACCCCACCACCCAAGCTCCAAACCAGGGGACATAGAGAACCAAACTTAGCATCAAAATATGTATTTCTGTCTACTGAACTACCATACCAAATTTGAACTTGATTGGGCAACCATAAAAAAAGTTGCCCATTCATTCTTATGCATAGTTAAGGAATCTACCCCACCACCCCAGCTCCAAACCAGAAGACATAGAGAACCAAACTTAGCATCAAAATATGTATTTTTGCCTACTGAACTACCATACCAAATTTGAACTTGATTGGGCAACCATAAAAAAAGTTATTAGAAAAAAACAGAAAATTTGTGGACGGAAGAGTGACAGACGGACAGACAGACGGACAGACAGACAGCTAGACAGACAGACGGACAGACAGAGTGATTACTATAGGGCACCCGCAAATCCTTGCGGGGCCCTAATTAAATGCAACATATGAAGTTATATCCCTTCTTATAAGAGTTGCTCCCCTTGCTACCTCTATACTCTTCTCTCTCTCTCTCTCTCTCTCTTTCTCTCTCTCTATACTCACTGTGATAAGCTCGTCCCCTTGCTCCTCTCTGCTTGTATAAAGACCGCACCACCTTGGCACTCCCAAATCTTTTGAATTTGCTGCTGACATTGTTGTAAAACCATTCAAAAGACTTAAGCTTCAATTCCCTGCAAGAATTAAATTATTTTTTTTTATCTAAGAATGATGTGTAACATCATTTCGGATGATTATACAATTCTAAATTAAATTAAATTAAGCAATTATTGATTTTTTTAAACTTTCAATCAACACAATAGAAAACATACATTTATATATTCAAATTTCTGCCATTTTCCCTCCTTTAGCCAAACCCAACAGTAACTGTAAAGAACCATATATTCCTACTTTGTTAAAAGATACGGTAAATTTTTCAATAAAATTTACCACTCTTTATAAGAATTATAGCATCTTTCATTCCAAAACAAAAAGCCAAGAAACCAGAAATTTAACAGTCAAACAGGTTCTGCTGTAATCTAGATTTTCTGAATTTTATGATGGCTTCATCATTTGCAATGTGGCCCCAGAATCTATACATACTCGGTTGAACTTCGGTATCTTGAACTCTGATATCTCAAATACCATGGATATGTCGAAGTGATTTGGAAGTCCCAACCACATATTCTTTAAGTATTTTACCTTGGATATCTCGAATCGTCAGATATCTCGAAGTTTTTACTCAGTCCCATCAGTCCATAGAAGTTTGTATGATGATATAAAATTGTTGGTAACATAAAAATTGTGTTGAATCCTTTTAAAAATAAACATTACAGAATGTCTAAACACAACAATGGTCAAATGAGTAATGATAATTAAGTCTCAACATTGACCTTGACCTTTGACCAAGTGACCTCAAAATTACAAATGTCTTCCTCTAATAAACATCCTAAATCCACAAGGGATTTTAATCACATAAAAGAAAAATTTAATATTTTGTCCCTGACCATTAACCAAATGACCCCAAAAGACCTACCTCCCAATTAACTCCTACTTATGCAGAGAAAACAAATTCTGTAAGTATTCAGTGTTATATATGATCATCATGTTAAACTGGGCTTGATGAACAGACAGTCACCTGGTGATATCTTAAAGCAAGGACATAAAAATAATTAGTAATTAACTGTTAGACTCTAGAGCAAGAAAAATTTCAACACCAGATGATAGCTCCACCTAGAATTGCTACAGCAGGGCTGAAAAAGAAAAGGAGTTATCCCCCATCCCCCACATCCATCCCAAAAGAAAGGACGTAATATGTCTAGGACAACTTCACAGAATAACAAAGCACCTTAGGAGATGAGACAGCGCATACCAATCAACCAATAGCAGCTTCCATGAAATGTGTAAATGAAGCAATAGAAGCGGACTGCCGCAAGTGAACAAGCGATTGATTACGGCAAGAGAGAATTTGATTTTAAAAGGATCCAGTCTCCAATCTTTCCCCATGCATGAGCAAAAACAGCCCTCAGTAATTTTCTGCACAGAGAAAAGAAGTTAATCATATTAAGCCAGGGAAATATATATCAAACCTCTCCTGTTCCTCTTGTGTGGCTCTAGACGTATACAAATGATTTACAATATAATTATGTTTGTGGGGAAGTTTTCTTTGAAGAAATAGTGACATGATTGGGATTTGGCTCCCCCCCCCCATTTATTATCCCCATTACTGTCTTAAAATTTAAAAAAAAAAAAAAAAACTCAGTGAGATTTGTGTTGAAAGATGCTCCTCTTGACTTGCTGCTCAAAATTGATATTGTTATATCTTTGAATTTTTTATATACAAATAATTTGCATTCAATGTAATTTTCCTTTTTCAAAAAAAAAAAATTCTTTCTGCTGCTTCCTATTATACAGAATTTTAAAATTCCATACAAATTTTGCAATTCATCTAGACATCTACTAATATTGCAATCATAAAATCCCCCTGGACCCCCCTACTTTTTATAGGGTCAATTGCTTACATTAATCATTCATTTTTTTTTTTTTTTAAGAATTAAATTAAACAAGAGGCCCATGGGCCACATCGCTCACCTGAGCACTGTGGCTAGGAAAAAGCAGAATTGATTTATACTTGAAAAGCTATTAAATCCAAAACTAGTCCCAAGACCAATCATGGCTTTGCTATTCTTGAGAAGAAGATTTTTAAAGAATTTTCCTATACATTTCTATGTAAAACTTTGGTCGGCCATTTTGGCCCCGCCCTACCCCTGAAAAAAATTGAATCTACACTACCTGAGGATGCTTCCATATAAATATGATCAATTATGGCTTTGCTATTCTTGAGAAGAAGATTTTTAAAGAATTTTCCTGTATATTTCTATGTAAAACTTTGATCATTTTGGCCCTGCCCTACCCCTGGGGGTCATGATTTGAACAAACTTGAATCTACACTACCTGAGGATGCTTCCATATAAATATGATCAATTATGGCTTTGCTATTCTTGAGAAGAAGTTTTTAATTTTCCTATACATTTCTATGTTTTTTATTTTGGCCCCAACCCCTGGGGGTCAGAAACAAACTTTTACACTACCTGAGGATGCCTCCATATAAATATGATCAATTATGGCTTTGCTATTCTTGAGAAGAAGATTTTTAAAGAATTTTCCTATATATTTCTATGTAAAACTTTGAAACTATTTTGGCCCCGCCCTTTATATTTGAACAAACTTGAATCTAAACTACCTGAGGATGCCTCCATATAAATATGATCAATTATGGCTTTGCTATTCTTGAGAAGAAGACTTTTAAAGAATTTTCCTATACATTTCCATGTAAAACTTTGGTCATATTGGCCCCACCCTACCCCTGGGGGTAGGATTTGAACAAACTTGAATCTACACTACCTGAGGATGCTTCCATACAAATATGATCAATTATGGCTTTGTTATTCTTGAGAAGAAGATTTTTAAAGAATTTTCCTGTATATTTCTATGTAAAACTTTGGTCGGCCATTTTGGCCCCGCCCTACCCCCGGGGGTAAAAAGAATCTACACCACCTGAGGATGCTTCCACATTAATATGATCAATTATGGCTTTGCTATTCTTGAGAAGAAGATTGTTAAAGAATTTTCCTATACATTTCTATGTAAAACTTTGAATTTTGGCCCCACCCTACCCCTGGGGGGTCATGATTTTTTTTACCTATGCTTTATAAATAAGATCAATTATGGCTTTGTTGTTCTTGAGGAGAAGATTTTTAAAGAAATTTCCTATATATTTCTATGTAAATCTTTGTTATTTTGGCCCCGCCCTTTTTTGAACAAATTTGAATCTACACTACCTGAGGATGCTTCCCCATAAGTTTCATCATTCCTGGCACAGTGGTTCTTGAGAAGAAGATTTTTAAAACATGCCACCAAATTTTCATTAATTCCCAATTATCTCCCCTTGAATGAGGGCGTGGCCCTTGCAAACTTGAATCCCCTTTACCCAAGTATACTTTGTTGCAAGTTTGGTTGAAATTGGCCCAGCAGTTCTTGAGAAGAAGTCGAAAATGTGAAAAGTTTACAGACAGACGGACAGCTAGACAGACAGACGGACGCCGGACAAAATGTTCAGAAAAGCTCACTTGAGCCTTCGGCTCACCTAAAAACAATTTCTATACTATACACCCTTTTTATGTTTGAAAATTCAATTTCTGTTAATGACTATAATCTTTAATCAATACCAACCATTACCACTCACTATATTGGTATCAATTTTCACAGATCCATTCACACATTCTAATCATTAATGTTGTAGACAATACTATCAAATAATACCTTTTATTACTGAAATATAAAATTGATCAGTATGCTTGAAAATAAAACACATAGTTAGACTGACAAAGTAATAATTTTTTTTTTTTTTTAAAGAGAGAGTTTTTGAGTGATATATTGGATATTGTGGTATGAAAAATAGATTATTATTTTTTAATAAACCTGTTTTATATTGAATTTCTCAGGGGAAAAAATTAAGTGATAACTTTCATAACAGCTATACCTCAACTAAAACCATCAGCTTACATTTATAGCATATTAGCTTCCAAAAATAATCTCTCAAAAAAGCAACAGAAAAAGCTTCTAAAAAGACCAATGGGAAAAAAGATATTTTTTACTTTTGCATTACATTTAATACAATTACTCTGTGTATAAAATTTGTTCATGATTTTTTTTATATTTTTCTTCTATGTAACCTGAATTTAATTATTTAGAGTAGTTATTTTTTTTTTAAATTACCTTTCTTTGATGCAGGCATGGCAGGTGTAGCCTTTTTCATTATCATTGTAGTCAGCACAGCGTTTGCAGACATAGTGTTTACAGGTAAGACACAGCTGCTTCCGATTGAAGATGATCCCAAACTTCTGACAGCACCGTACACAGACTTCCTCGTTTAATTTTGTCTTGACTGCGATCACCTCTGTCTTCTCCTCCTCCTCTTTCAAACTTTCCTCTATTTTACTGAAATTGCCACCAAAATTGAAATTATCTATTTCTCAACTGCTGCAACTTTGCCAAGGACAAATTACAGGATTCAGAAGTAACTTTTATTCAATGAAATATTTTAGGCCTGATGGATCCAAGAATTTTTGGGGTCTGTTCCTTTATCTGTCTAAAACTTTAACCTTGTTCATAGCTTTTAAAGAAAACAGTTTTTGAACTCTGTTTTGGGTCTGATGGTACTTTGAGAACACCTTGCAAGACCATTTGCAAAAGGTCAAGGTTTTAATTTGTATATAACAATATATATACAGAGAGTAAAAAAATATATATGCGTCATTCAAAATGCCAGACTAAAGTCTTATCCCTCGATTATTGTCACTGACATACCTAAACTGTGAAAAATTAACACTTTTACCGGTAACTATACATAACAGCAGGGAGTGGGGGGGGGCAATTTCACCGTGCAATATCTTTTTTCCTATATTTTTAGTCCAAATAAACTGCTTTCTTTCAGTTCTTTATGTGCCAAAGTTAAAACTGTTAAACATCATGTCATCACTGCAAGCTAAAAATATTATAATTTGTTAATGCTTACTGGAGTCGTTCTCTCTCCTTGTCGCGTAGCTCGAAATCTTTCTGTAAAACACGCAGGATCTTCTCACATTCTTCATCACTGAGATGCTCCAGGTTCATGTGCTTGCTCAGGGCAGCTCGACTCATGTTTCCCGAATCTGTAGGCATCTCTTACATCTACAATATATAAATCCATAGATTAATTCACAGAACCTGTGCACATAAAAAAATCCCTTTGTTATACAACCCAATATCACATTTCATTTTCCAATCATTTTAAAACTGATGGACAATATAGATCAAATTATCCAAATAAAATAAAAATGAAAAGTTCACCTGCTGCAAAGTTTTGCAAATATTCAATTATTTAAAAAGGGCAATAAATGAATTGAATAAATGGAAATAAAAGCTTACTATTTCAAAGAGTATACAAAGCCAAGCCAATATCACAAGTATGCACAGGTCAAAAAAGGATATTGATTTGTTACAAAGTTATGTGACCTTAATTGTGGTGTGATTTGTTGCCTATAGGCATAGACTGCCAATTAAGTAATTAACGGATAATTGTGTGAGCAACAGTTATTACTCAACTATGTTTACTTAGCCATAATTAACAACGTAAATGTTTTCATTAAAAAAAATCTGACCTTATGTCAAGTTGTCTACCAGAAAAGTAATTTTAAAAACTTTTTAGGCATATTATTTAGTTCCCTCTTGAAGTTTATATAGAATCACAGACCTTCAAAAATACAATGAGAAAAATCAACTGAAGTTTAGAAATATTATAAGCCGCAGAGAAAAAGCATGGAGACCAAAAAATTCCTCCAATTCACAACATTTGGTAACATTGGAGAATTTCTGAAATCCTAGCAGCATAGCAAATATTGCAAAGACTGCAAATATTGACAGAATATGAATGAATATTTGCTGTTGGGACTGAAACAATTCTTGATTTTCCCTGATAAATGCAAAACCTTTTCCATAATTATAAAATTATTCATCATTCATATTTAGGAAGTGAGAATGCAATAATGATAGAAAAATAAATTTTAATATCTGTTTCCATCCTGACAATTTTTTCTATGCACGCAACCAAAATATCAAATAGTCCCATTTATCACTGGGTTCAGAGAATTTTTTGAATAATTGATAAGTGTTTCTAACTTTATGATTTTAAAATTCTCATATATAAATTAATTTTTTTTTTATTTCACAAGTCATATATAAATTAAAATTAATTTAAGATGATTGCTGATTGAGAGGAAAGAAGAGAAAAGAGAGAAAGGGATAGAAAATATATTAACAAATGGAAAAATTACTTTATTTGATCACTGTTGGTGAATATATTCAAGAAAAAATTAATGTTGAATATATTACTTCAAGGTCATATATTCATCATTTTCATCTAAGGATGTGATTTTATATACATATTAAAACTACTACATATAGGAATACAAAAAGATAAAAAAAAAAAGAATTTAATTAATCAAGATCTGTCTTGTCCATACAAATATTCGTCATTTACAATGTTTGTTCAGGGTCAATGTACATTGTAGCATAGATAGGAAAAATGATAAAAAGGCTATACAGTAGGAGATGTTGATTATACATACTGATACTGCAATAATTATATTTATCAATCATATTGATTTGGTAACGAAATATAGTAATATAAGTAGAAACTGCAAAACACAAATTAAGCAATTTATTACCCTCAAAATAGGGATATATTTTTAGCAGTAAGTAATTTGCTATTTTATAATGCCAAGTTAGATGGCAATTACAACCAATATTGAATAATTTGTTAGCCATATTCAATTTTAGCGATCTCTGAATCCACATTAATAATGCCAAAATTTAATTCTCACTAAAAATTCTACTTAATTTTACTAAATTCATACTTATATTCAGTATTTAAATGTGAAATATATTTTGTATATGAACATTTTAATTTTTTTTAAATTCACAAAGGACATACCGGTAAAAGATTTAGACATGTATATTATTTATAAACATTTATTTTTCAGGAACATTTTACAGAATTAATTCTTTTTTCTATCTCTCTTCCATTCCTTAAAAAATATACTATAGTTACCTTTAGTACATATTCCAAACAGGCAGATTTCCAGAACATAATTTCTGCATCAAAAATCTCATCCACTAATCTGCATCAGTTTAGCGTTTATAATGAAAGCTCTCGATCAGCAGCATAAAATGTCCATTGGAGAACGACACTCCAACACTGTAATGGAAAACATTCAATAATTTATCAGTAAATGCATTGTGAAGGGACAATCTCTTCTCTGTCTTCATGTAAATCCCTTCCCCGCCTGCTATTTCTCTTAATTCGAGACCGCGCGACATTGTCAACGGCCTTTTATTATTGGTCGTAGCCCTCTATATATATCAGAAAAGCTTGCTCAATTACAGATACATGTATATGGAACAGTGTTGTGTTATAACCATTCCAAACAAGTATAAAATCAAAACTTATTGTCACCGATTCCATTTGATCTACTGGGAAAATTAAATACGGAGTCCTTAATAAAATCTATAGTGACCACTGTTATTAAATGTCACTTCATGCTTATGGTCAACAAGTGACCAAACTGAGCTTATTTTTATCATTTTTATGTTTTCCTGGCCACAATGTCATTTACACTGTATAACACAGAATGACCAGATCATCTTGTGACACATTGGATAGAGAATTTGCTCTGGAGTTGCAGAGTAAGGAGTTGATCCTTTACATTGCAGGTTTAAATCCTAGTGCAGGTCATGGAGACCTATCTCTCAGATGAGACGTTATAAACTGAGGTCCTGATGAAGTAAGTACTGGCATGAAAAAGATCCCTCAATATTAAAAGGTCCTGTGTGCCAATTATAAAGTCTAAAAGACTCTCTTGCAGCCCTCTACCTGCAAATGGTGGCATCACCATATAAATGAAAAATTCTTGAGGTGTTTAATGAACAAACAAACTTAAAACTAAAAAAATCTTGACAAGATGCAGGTTTTGTCATGATTTAATATGTAACACCCAGCAAACGAAAATAAACACTCAACACACTCTGATTTCAAGTGATAAAGTATGGAAACACTTTTTGGCAACAAAATGCAGTGAATATCATCATTAAACACAACTAAATATCTTTTATTGATAATAAAATGAATTCAGGTGGTGAAATAGTGTATGTCCGCACAACATGAGGTAATTCCAGACAGAGGCGGGGTAAATGGAGAGCAATATGTGCTTTGAACATATTTTTTGTGAGAAAATGCATTCCAACAACATGACACTTTGTTAGACAAAGCCTGCTTGTTTTACATTACTTAGCATGTATATTGTACATTTTCACAAGAGAGAGAGAGAGATGCGGGTCAGGGACTTGCATAGAAATGATATAGAGCCCTCCCCCTTCCCAAATTGATTTTTATCAAGAAAAATGTTTTATAAAGAAAGAGTAATTAATTAAATAAAAACAATAATTCAGACACTGTGTGCCAATAATTTTGGTCACCCGTCCAGGCCTAGGTGTTAACCGTCAGACATTGGGCTGAGATGTGCAGCCATAAAACCAGCGTCTACCAGCAAATGGTGGTATTATTCATCATATTTTTTTCTTTTTAAACATATGCTCTCTAAAGAAATTTTAAAATAATAAATGGATATATACATGTAAATATTTATCTTAGAAGATGAAATTGCCCTTATATGTTCAAATTTTGCCACCTAATGGATTTCAAACTTAAAACTTTTGAATATAAAAATACCCTAGAATCATTATGTTTTTAAAAAAGACAACAATGACACCCGCTTTCCGAATGTATTTCATTTATTTATAATCAATAATACAGAATTACTGAAGAGAGAGAAATTAGAAATATACATGCATTATCCTTTAAGAATTGAGTTCCAAATAATCTTGTCTAGTATTAGACACAAACACGTAGTGTGAAATTTGTACAACTTACACAAATACAGTTGTTTGATTGTTCATAGTAGATTGAATACAGATATCCCACCCACCCCTGACTATCTGATATATAGATACATGAACACATAACACAACCTTAAGGGGGTTTATTTTTATGCTCTGACAATTTTCCCTACATGTATATATACCAGTACAGGTATAATCATACACTAAGCATTAATAAAAATATGTTCTACGAATGCGGAGACACTCAACTACAAAAAAATACCATATTGACTAGACAAAAAATATGCCCTGCATTCCCTTCCTTAAATGGAAGAGGGTAACAAGAATTTATCATCTAGATCCAATTTTTTTAGATTTCAATTAAAGAAACCATTCATTTTGACAAGATATTCTCATCAAACTCCATACACTTGAACAAAATTTCAATGCTGTATTCCTAATATACCCTCAGTTGGGCATTCATGTTCGATGGATATTCTTAGCTAATTAAGATTTATTTCAAAACGAAAAGAAATTTATCATTATATCCATAACAACACTAAATATTTTTAAAAAACTAAGGGAAAAATTAATTTTAAAAAAATTTGCCATTTATAATTTCTATGAAATGCAATATTGTGAGCATATCAATACACGTTAAGTACAGCAGGTATTAACCACAAAAAAAGTAAAAATCTTTTTTATCTGATCGGTTAGATAATGAGCATATCTGTTTCATTCTTCACTCTCTTTTGTCCCTCCCCACCAGGTAATGTTTAATCCGTCTACTTTTCCTTTTGTCTGATCTTGAGCCATTGATTTTTTTTACCCCAGTAAAAGTGTATTACAAGAGATTAGCCTGGGAGAGGTTCCATAATGGACACATAACTCAGGTTTTATACATACGATGCTGACATGTTAAGAAAATTAATCTCCCTGCATCAGACAGGAAAAAATTAAGATATTGTTGAAGAGACAAAATTAAATCAATATTATAAGGCTTATTTTCACCTCCTATGATAAGGTATATACATAACATATATGCATACAAAATACAAATTGTTATAAGTTTAGGAGCTTTTTACTGGATCAAAATCTGAATTTTCCAAAAAAGTAAGATATGCACAAAATAAGCTTTAGAAAAGTAGATACTATATCAAACATGTTATTTGAATGCTATCGAAGACTTTTTTTCATTTTTAATAATTCATAATACAGTCATGTTCTTTTTATAATGGCCACAGATTGAACTTTTTATGGGTGGAAAATGTTCTTATAAGAAACTTAGTGCTTGGAAAATGATTAAAAAATCCATGCATACAAAATGTAAAAAAAATATTTTTCAAACTCTAAAGTGAAGGTAAAAAGGTCAAAAATATTTACTTCCATTGAAAGATCATGTCACAAGGAATACACATGTGAAGTATGAAACCCCTAGCACCAACTGTTCAAAAGTTATATGGCCAAGATTAACATTTGGAATTTCTTTTGTAAAAGTGGGTCAAACTAAAAGGTCAAGTAGTCAAATTTGGAGGTACCCAAAGAAAGGTTTTAATTGTAATATAACTATGAAATATGAAAACTATAGCCCCACCCAGTTAAATGTTATGGCCAATGGTTAAAGTTTTTGCACACAGACAGACAGATGGACAGACAGGGCAAGAACTTTATACCCCGAATCTTTGATTATGGGAAAAAAAACTACCCTGTTCAAATAACATTATCAATCACAATATTCAAAGACAGCAGCCTGATAAAATCCTAATTATGGCCATATAGAAAATTCTATAAAATCGATAAAAAAAAAGTCAAAAAAAAATATTAGCACTGATTGAAAATTACTTGTATGGGTAATTATCTAAATAAATTACAGACAGAAGCAATTTTAACAGTTAAGATTTGGGTAAATTAAAATTTTCATTTCAAAAATTGTCATTTCATTGAAAGTACTTAAGATATCCATGAGCTGTTTCTAACATTGGCTACATTCTGGCAACCTTTTCGAAGAGTTTGAAATAATTTTACATCAGGTACTGGAATTTCAAGTATTTTCCCAAGGTGACTCTGACCATGACCTTTTTCAAATGACCTTGACTCAAAAATACCACTGTTCTTAACCATTTTGTCAAGTAGGAGGTTAAAAAATACATGTACAGCTATACAGCTATTGACTGTTTATCACTTGCAAACAGACAGACAAAGGGAATCTACAATAATGTACAAATTGCTTGCACTGGGTTCATTTAGAGACTTGCAATATTGAAAAAAAATCCGAAAAATAATATCAAAGAATTTAGCAGCCTGCAGACCATGTATGTCATAGCTAGAACACACTATACATTTACAATCTACCAGATAGTAAACCTAAACTCCAAGCTTAGTGGAAACAAATATTCAAGGCCATTACTGAATTCCCATTAGTGTTTTTTATTTACCACATTCGATATTAGAGATGCCTAGAGGGAAACTGTAATCGAAATGATTGTATTCCAAAGGCTCCATAAATAGAAAACCTTATAAAAACAACAATCGCATATACATCCCCATTAGACAGACATCATTCTTGTCAATTTCTTTCAAGTTATTAAGAGCCTTTTTGAAAACTCAGATTTTATATCACTGAAAATATCTCTACTGTGATATCTCATTATATTCTTGGCAATGCATGGTAGAAAAGTTTCAATTTTTAATCCTTTCTAAGGCGCTAAAGTGATGCTGTAAACATAATTTTATCGCAGGGGTCAAAATTACTTGAAATGATAATAACCCTTCAATCCACAGGTAGAAAATCCTGTGTATTACATACGTCGCTACTTTTTACCTTAAATGCTTCTTAAGTACAATGTTAATGCTGGGAGAAATTTCCATGTGGATTTCTTAGCTTAATATATTAAGCTAAATTGCCACTTTTAAAATATATGCCTTAAATGTATCATTAGCGCTGGGACAAATTTCCATGGAAAGTTTGAGTCCAGTTTATAGATTAATTTACCATGATGCATAAAAAAGCACTTCAGAATCTATAATAAAATGCAATTGATACACATTATTAGTTACACATTCACTTCTCCACTTGTGATAAGTTTGGGATGCTCTAATTGATGTCTCTAATAGTCAGTTAATGGTAAACATATGGTAAAGATATAGTATCTTTCTATTAGATGAACGCTTCTAGTAATCCCCAACCAATAATTTTCATCAACTAGAAAGGGTGGATTTTAAATCAACCATTTAGATGACTATATTTGACTTAAAGCATTTTATTTGACCATTTTTATCAAGCTATTGAAAACAGAAATATATGTCTGCTACTTCTAGTTT